CTTTATAATAATTTGTAATTAAATTTATATGATTTTTTTATTACTAATTTTAATACAAAATATTTAATTTTTTCTTTTTGATTTGCTATTTTTTATACTGTTATTGAAATATCTAATTACAAACATATATATAATAATTACAAACATATATTATTTATTTTTCAATCTCTGGATATATTCAGATATTGAAACATATATCTTACAGATCAATACAGAAAGTGTATCAATACTTATTAAACGCTTTTTTTATTATCATCGTTTTTGCGACGTATACTTCGAGTATCAATGTGTTATACACAACATGTACAACAATCGACTAGTTAATTAAGATAAGTCTGTGTAACGTTGTTGCATCGCTGCGCGCCCTTTACATTACACTATGCGGAGAATCGAGGCAGACATTATTGACATTAAATAAATCGACGAAGCATTCTTAACATTTTTCCGCCACGCCACTGTTTCGCGCTGCACGCTCTTCCCGAGTGTAACATTCGATTACGCGATCGGCGCGCTTTCTTTGTGGGGTGAGTTCTCGCGAATGACGGGGAAGAATTAGGAAAGAAAAAAAAAGCGGAAAGTTGCTTCCGGCGTTCTTTAAAGTAATCATCTCCCTCAGCCGACAAAATGCGCGAGCTCGCCTCCGGGGCACCAAACATCGCATGCATGTCATCCCAGAAATTATAACGTGAACGGGTATCCACGGAAATAAATGTTTGCGCACTGAAATAGCAATTCCATTATCCCGTGCCTTTGAAGATAGAGGATGCAACGGACATTACGGGGACTCCAGCGAATGTTACTACGAGGAATGTTATGGCAGGAATAAACGCCGACTGTCCGGCCGCGAGCGTAACGTGCATAGAGTTCGCAAAAGGTGCGCAAGAAGTTACACAAGCACGCAAATCGACAAAATGCAACCACCTCTCCCTTGCTATGTCGCGTGAATAGCCCTCATCCGGACTTTTCAACCGTGAAATCAGATTTTTCTTTGTGGACCCGTTTGGGTATATCGGCTTCTCTTTTTATTTTGTAAACTGCTCGCTCGATTTTTATGAAACTTGGTCTGCAGGATAATTTGATAATGTTTTATTTAAATATTCGAGGTCAAAAATAAAAAAAATTTTTAATAATGGATTTAATATATGACAGGTAGAATTTTTC